TGAGTGAGAGGGTTTTGTTAAATGACAGAAGCTTGCTAAGAGGTTTGAAATGCCACAGAGCTCCTGGAGGAGGAGATGCGTTGCATGGGGTAGACTAGGCAACTGTGATTAGGTAGCTTATTGGTGTGACGTAGCTGCTTGAAATTAACAAAACAAAACAAACAACCCCCCATATTTTGGTATAGAAATGCAAACTTCTCAGTATTGGTTCTTGTGAATTCTTCTTTCTTTAGTGCAGCTCCAAAAGAGCACACATTTTGTTTCCAGAAGGAGCGTGGTTGTTTAAAATGTGAACTGTGATGTGTGGATAATTGCTACCAGATGGGTGGTGTTAGCTGATTTGGACACGCATACTCGAAACCCGATTTCTGCCGTGGTTTGCTCTTTCACATCGAGTAGCTGTTGAAGCACTTGTAGCACATAACATAGAGGAAAAACTTGCAAAAGGTGAATAGGGCTTTTTGGCCAGGCACAGCCTATCTGTGGCTCTTAAAGCCTTGACTTGCAGGCAGAGCATGGGGCACCCACACCAGGGCCTCCTCACCTGGCCAGCAGCAGGACTGTGCTGGGAAACCTGCAATGGTTAGTCCAGCTAGTTGCACTTCCTCATCCTCTCAAGGAAATAAAGAGTTGCCAGTTTGTCATAAAACTACATGCTCCTGGTTTTGGGATCTGCAAAGGAGCTGTGGGGTGCTTGGGGAGTACTCACCCATTCCAGCTTGAGAACTGCTCATAACCTGAGCTCTTGGAGGTATGTTGTGTCTTTCTGACGTGAAGATTTGGTATAGGTATGTAGCCAGGAAGGTTGGTTGCTTGCATGCTTGGTGTAAGTACCTTTGCTGTTCCTTCTGGGACGTGGACTTCTGTAGAGTTTACTGCTTTTAAAGAAGAGTGATGGAAACTGTTCAGACATTGATATGTCTTCACCCTCGTTTGTATCTAAAATGACCTGGCTGGTCTGTTTGAATCTCAAGATGTAGCAAAAACAGCTGGTTGCCAGGAAGAATGCTCTTAAGCTCGTAACTGGTCTCCGTAACTGCCAGTAACACAAACATGAATGACCAATTTTGTAATTTATTCCGTTCCTGACTTGGCCATTTTTGTCATCTTGAAACTGTCATGTTCTCTAACCCCCTACCCTGGACCTCTTCTTTTTCCATCCAGTTCTAGTGGAGCTTACCTCACCTTCCCAAGTGTTCTTGCTATGGGGCACACATCCCCCTGAACTCACTTGTCAAATTTTCAGAACATGTGAAGGATTTTTAACAGCCTAATCTTTCACAGAACAAGAAATGTCCAAGTCTCCTTTATCTGGGAATTTTTTTTGTAGCATGTAATAGCAGAGGTGCACTGCCCTGATACTGCCTGTGGCAAAGATTTTATCCCCAAACTGTGTTCTTGTTCCTTCCTACAGCTTCCACGTTTGTGGTAGGGGGAATGTTTTAGCTAAAGCTTAACTGGATTTCATGTGCATCTACAATAGATTCTTTTGAAATGAGAAAAATAGGTACCTAATCATCCTTACATGGTCTTGGCCTAAACTCAAAAATCAGCTAAAACCAGCTTTAAATTCATATGAAGACCCTCCTTGAATCTCTGGACAACTAAGCAAGGGTGATCCTTATTGTCAGATTTATCTGGCTAAACGAACAGTGCCAAAATTGCTCTGTTCCTGTATGCTCCCACTTGGTTCTGCTCTTTCAGTTTCTGGTATTGATTTTTCAACTAGAATCTTGTAAAGCATAAACAAGAAGGCTGCTTGGTATTCCAGCCGGAAGCATGTGCACACCAGTCTTTGAATTAAATACTGAAGATGACCCTTGCTGGATTATTCAACTGGTCTTTGGTATTTCACTGCACTTAGATTTCAGGTCTTGGAAACCTTCATGTTTGCTGGGGGAGGCCCCTGTATTTGGAGTTTCAGTTCTCTCAGATAAGTGTGCTAAATCAACTGCTAGTCAGTCTGGCTGCTTAACCATATGAGCAACGTATTATTCTTATTTTAGGCTGGCTAGTTTTTTTGAATATATTCTTTAACAGGAGGCAATGATACAAGTCCGTCTGGATTTCTTGAATTACAAAACTATGAATAAACAAACTGAAGGTTGAGGCACAAGGTTAAACACCACCGGTAAAAATGAAAAGGGCTTAAGAGCAGCAGAAAGCAAGAAAAAAATTTTTAAAAAATGGAGTGAATAAAATTAGTAAGACAGTGTTATCCTGGGTTGTTATTGGGTTTTTAGTCTCGGCCTCTGTCAATCCTTAGTATATTTTGATCTCATATGCCCTTTTCTTATCAGATTGCTTTAACTGAAAACAAATACAAAATGAAGTAGGCCTTTTGGAAACACTAAGCAAAAACATTAGTGTTTCCAAAGGGTCTGCTGCGTGGTCCAGCCACTAGGCTGAGGAAGAAAAATTCAAGATATGCTACTGATAGTGGGCTGGAAGAAATCAGGTTCAAGGATGATTTTTTGATAATTAGAATAAATCATGAATATGCAAACCTAGACAGGGAGAGGGGTATTAAAAACAAATCTCCTAAATGTGTTTTTACACTAATTTAGTAATGGACAAGGTTACTGTAAATGATTTGGAAAACCACATCAGGAGCCTACAGCGTGAACATAAAAGTGCTCTGGTAGCTACTTGCTGGCAAATCCAGTACGTGTTTGTGTCCCAGCGTGCTAGGGTGCAGCTCAAATACCTCACTGCTGCATTCACGTTTTCATGATTGGATGCTGTGTCCGTAGCAGGAACTGGTGTTGAACAGGAGCAAGATGACTCATCTCTCCTTCCTGAGCAGGGAAATGGGGAAGAGCAGGGCGAGTCCTTTCAATAACTGAGCTCTCTGCTCTCCTGAGAATTTCCCGCGGAGGGCGAGGCGTGGTTTTCAGTCTTAGACCACTGCCACTATAGAAAGCTTCTACGTGTTTGATGTAAAACTGCAACACAGCTACTTAATGCCCCTACTAGTGTGTCAGTGTCCAAATAACTGTTAAGACTGCTTAAACTCCAGTGATTAAAAGGGGATCTCTCCCATACAAGATCAAAAATACAAGTATTTCTAGTAAAGGGCTGGCCCTTTCTTCTAACCAGCCTTTTCAACTGCAGAATAATTTCCTATAACTTGCAGCAGATGAGTGCATAGTATAATAATCACTCATTTTGATTAGTCTTGTGTCAGACAGTAATACATGACTGGTTTCTGGGTGCTTGTTCCCTCTATTTTTTTCTTAAGAACAGAGTATTTTATGTCTTTATTTGTTCTGCAGGCACGGAGTGGGTATCCCCACCCCCAGGACAGGGTGCTCCTAACTGAGCGACCTGGTGAGCGGGCGCCGACGTTAGCCTGGGGTCAGGCTGCGGCGAGAGTGACCAGGGGCAAACGGGGAACCTGCTGTCAAGGTGAGGTTTTCCCTGAGGAAAACCAGGTGCAGGTGTGGCCCCGCCAGCGCCCAAACTCATCTGCCGCGGTTAGTTGGGTAGTAGCTGATGGAAAAGTCTAAGTGATTTTTGGGCCAGTGCATTATTTTTAATTTTTCTAATGTATTCTAGCTGAAGGAAAAGCATGCAAAGTGAGTTTCAAGCTCTTTGCATGCGCAAGGGCTGTGAACGCAAGCCTGGGCATTGACAGCAGCAAAGCTGCTGTATCTGTGGCTCTGCCATTCAGCTCAGGCCTCCCGTGGCTTATTTTTGCATCAACAAATTAAGTGTGAAAGAGGCGTACGGCAAGCTCGAAACGGCTAAAAATAAGCTCCATTATCTGCAGAGAAGGGCAGCGTTCCCTTTCGCAGTCCCGGCTGCCGTTTGAGCAAGCGGAGATCGATCTGTCTAATGTCTGGGGCTCGCCTTTCATAAAAGAAGGGCTGTGGCTTTAAGTAATCGCTGGCTGCTTGTGCCAATTGCAGAAGCTGCAGTATCTGCCGCTGTCAGAGCGATCGCCGCGGAAGTAGGATAACCTGCGGAGGCAAGGTCCGGCGGCCAGCCTTGCCGCTCGGCCGCGGCCGGACCAGCTTGGCCGGTGGTGCCGCCACCTGCACCTCGCCAATGAGTGCCGGGGGGCCGAGCGGGGGGCTGCCGGAGCTCGAAGATGGGCTGCTCGAGCAGCAAACTCTGCCTCTATTCTCAGTGTGCTGCAGCAAGGGTAATGGGTGTTCGTTCCGCAGAGCTTTTCCGATGGCAAAGGAGCTGGACGGGAGCTTGCCCGGCAGCGAGGTGAAAGCGCCCCGGCTGCGGGAAGCGTGGACCTTGTCACCTCCGCGCCATGGCCGTGGGTGTGAGGTGCTGGTCGCGGAGCAGCTCTACTGTGGCCGTGCCTGCGCTTCTCCCCAGGGTGCTGGTTGGGGGGCAGAGGGGCCTGGCCGGCCGCCTTCCGCTGGCGGAGGCACAGCTCCTGGGCCGAGGGGGAGATGGGTGCTTCTGCTTGTTTTGAGCGTGGGGTTGTTATGATGTTTCTTATACTGAGAGAATCACCGGTCCTAAAATTGAAGCACTGTGAGCAGCGGGGTGGGTTGTATTCAACTTTGAACAGGGCTGTGCCTTTCCTTTGTGGAAGACTGAGCATTTACCAAAGTTTTCGGTTTTGTGTTTGAGTAAGCTTAAGATAAATATTTAATGCATGCCTCTCTTGCATATATACCATACTTCTGTGCCCTTGACAGCTATCAGTTGATTTGTTCTGGAGGCTTATATTGCTACACCCATCATAAAATACACAATTAATTGCTACAAAGTAGGATTTTAATTGCAGTGTTATCCTGGAAAAAGCTATTCTTTGTTTTAAAGTGTAATTTCCTTAACAACAGAAGAACATCTGTGTATTTTGTAACAGCAGAACTGTTATCCTAAATGATTCATATCTTGGCTTCTTGCTCCTGCCTCTTGTTTTCCTACAGAACACATGTAAGTTAATTATTGGAAGGTGCCCTGCTCAGATCACTAGTAACCAAATGTTTGGGTTTGTTGTTTTTTGTTTTTTGTTTTTTTTTTCTCTGCAGAGGGAGGAAACACTGAAACAGCGTAAAGAGTTATCTCAAGAACTGGTTAACCTTCGAGGAGAATTAGGTAAGAATTTATTTTTTGTATTTTTCATGAGAACAGAAATGCAGCAAAGCAGATCTGTGGAAAGACAGATGCCCTGGTATTGTAATGGCAGTCATTTAATTCCCAAACTGAATTCTGCTCAGATGCTTTAATCGCTGCATTTCTCTGGAGCCCTGACAGCGTGACCCCAGGTTCACCGAATTCCTGGCACTGATGTGACTGCGCCTAGCGGGGCCTCCTCGCAAAACATATGTCTGATGACCAAACCACTCACTTTCTTAAAAATGGGAGGATGGCTGACAGTATATGTATTTCTGTTTGATCCCTAACTTACTTGTATGCTGTATTCTAGAGATTTGCTGGCAAAAATCTGTAAACCTGTAAAATACACTGTGGAAAATCTGTATTTTGCCTTAGTGGCTTGTAGGTGAATGGGTGTAAAATTAACAGAAGGAAATGCTGTCAGGCTAATGAGATTGAATCTTTGAACTCATTCTCGTGGACAGCTATAATATGAAATTGAACTATAATGTACAGGGCCTGGTTTTGCCAATTTTGAAGCTTGATTTAACTGCATTTAATGGTACCTTCGTATAAGTTATTTGAACTCAAAGCATAATCATGTTGCGGAGTGCAAAAAGTCATTGGATTGAAAATGATAGTACTTGAGAGTGAAGCTAGCATTTTATAAAAGCATGCTTCTGTTATGACGAAGCCCCTTTAAAAAAGTAAAAAAAAAAAAAAGCTTTGAAAGCAGAAGTAGTATGTGTGGAACAGTTTCAGATATGCCACTTATTATTGAAAAGTTGGAAAGGTTTATTTTCACATGCTTTGGAAGTTGAGTATTGTGTCAGCCATACTTGAGTGTGAATGTAGGTCTTTTACATGCAGGTGGTGCATTTAATGTTCAGGTTTATTTTTTAGGGTTGATGAATAAGGTGGGCATTCCCTGGCAACTACTCAGAGTTGGAAGTGTGGTGGGGAGGGAGGGCTCTCCCTGTCCCCCCAGCTGAAGCAGCAGAGCACAGCTTCTTCGCTTGTCACTATTACTGTCCTCCAGTTTAGAGGGTTCTGTTAAAATGCAGCTTTGTGGGAGCTTTATTTGATGCCACATAAAATTGTGGATGTGAATGGGGAGTACTACAAGCAAAGCAGGCCTTGCAGCCTGAATAGATAGATGAGAGTACCAAAGACACTGCAGAAACACATAGCATTTTCTTTCTTGGAAGTTTAGGACTAAAAAGCTGAGGCTTTTTTAGAGCTTGGTGCAGTCTGGCATCTGTCAAGCTGCATCTTTTAACCTTCCTACTGATGAAGCACCTGGATTGCGGTTTTGCTGTTTCAGGCAGGTCTCGGTAGGGGCTGGCTTTGAAAGAGCTTGGCCTTCCTCTGCCTGTGCGTCCCTCTGTCCTGCCTTGTGCCAGCACTGCTGCCTGAGCAGCCATGCGCTGAGCCGTGCGGTGACCGAAGGCAGCTGAAAAGTAGCATCTTGAAGCGCTGTTTTGCCACAGCTGGCTGGCCTGGCTCAGCACGTGGCTGAAGGAGCACCGGTGCCGGAGCAGAGAAAGGGGAAGGAGCAGCGGGGTGGAGGGTTGTGTCCCCGTCAGCTGCAGCAGCGCTTCTATCACCCTAAAGTGACAACAACAAAACTAGAGTCTTCGTGTGGAAATGGGCTTCTTGCATTCCTACAAAGTTGTTTTATAAACATTATAAACTAGATTTCTTTTTTTTTTTAACGTAGATATGTGTGACTTTCTGGGCAAACCCATTTGTTTACCTTACCATGACAATGACTTCAGAAGGGTTGCTCTCAGAGCAAGAAAGTCTGTTCTTCCATGTGCTTGTGTCTTCAATATTATTTTTCCTTTGTCAGCCTAGGTACTATGTCACTTACTAGGAAAGGGAAAATTCTGCTTAGGTGGGCTGACCAAAAGCTAGCCAGCAGTTCTGCCCATTACCACTTCTTGGGGTTTGGTTGGTTGGTTTTGGCTTTTTTTTGTTGGGTTTTTTGAAAGTGCAGTTCTTTCTAAGGGTGCCCCTCTCTTAAATGAGCTTCCCGTAAGCTTGTTACCATCCTGCTTTGATTAACAGCCTGTGGGACATTTGTTGCAAGAATATGCCATTCGGTAGGTTGATAACTAGAAAAAAAACTTCAAATGTAACTGAGCGTGAGGGATCTGTGATGCCCAAGTGTGCAGAGCTGTCAGCCGGGGATGCTGGCTGGCGTGCTGCTGGACAAGGTCATCAGCCGTTCCCCTCTCGGAGCTGATCTTACTGGGTCAGCTCCACAGGAGCATCTGAATGGCAGCCTCAGGCTTGCTTCCCTCTGTAAGGTGTCCAGACCATGGTTTCAGTGAAGTGTTCTTCATGCAGCTCCTTTGTCTCAACCACGTCACGTGTCTAGCCTGTCTGTACTTCTCTGTGCAGCATGTAACGGGAGTGAATAAGAGTACAGAAATGAAAAACTATAAAGGGCTTCAGTTCCTTCTGGCTTTAAAAAGATTTGCTTCAAAAATAAAAGTTAAGAAAAATAAATAAGCCAGCCAGACCTCACTTGTTGACAAGGTGTAGGAAAAGCATTCTTATAACAATAGCTTTAGCTGAAAATAATCTGTTTAAATACACACCTGCTAATCAGCTTTCTACTGTCACTGTTAAATGGATATAGCTGAACTTAAGGTTTCCGTAGGCTATTTTGACATAAGTACTGCGAACTTTGATTCACAGTGTGATCTAGGCACAGATTGGCTCAGAAAGTTACGTACAGTTTGCATATTATTTTGGCCATGTGGACACGTGTACATGTTTTGTTGAGTCCCAGCTGCTGTGTGTTTCATGCCTGTTGGTTTGCAGCTGGGGAGCGGGCAGTCCAGGAGGAGGAGCCAGGTGTACCCTGCACATTGCTGAGTTTGAGAAGAATGTGGTCTCCTGCAGCTTGCACTCTGCATGGTTTGGACTCCTCAGCTTCTTGCTTTGAAGTTTAATTGTATGTGCTCCCAAGCTCCTTGATTCACCTTGCAAAACCAAATTGGCCTGTTGTCAAATTGTCTGTTTTGCTGGGTTATTCTGTATGACCCTTTCTACCAAAATACCTTTTTGTTTAATGATGCAGATAGGTGTTAACGATCCCAGAACCCGCCTTTGGCAGCAACCGCGCAGACCGTGGGGAGGATGGTTACCGGACGCTGCTTTCTGCTCCCAATAGCTGGGAACGTGTGTGAGAATTAGCAACGATGATGTGTGTGGGGATGGGCTTTCCCAAATGAATTCATATTCATTAACAGTCAGGTTCTGAACTCGAGTTTCCTTAAAATCTCCAGCTGCAAAGACTAAACTTGGTGGTTTGAATGTAAACGCCTTGGTCCTGGGAGCCTGGAGCAGGTACAGATGTCCTGTTTGCCACCTGTTACCCTTCTTATTAAGATGCAAGCTAGCGTGTAAATTATTTCTAGTTACCTATTTAATTACGTAAGTAGAAATTGCAAGAGCTGCAATTTCTTGAGAGGTTTGCAACTGCTTCTCTAAATTAATTGCACTCCAAGTTGTTTTGGAGCCTCTTTGCAACCGTGCTGGACATGATCCAGCTCTGTCCTGCCATAAAACAGCAGGTGCAAAGCTGACTCAGCCCACGCCCGCTGTGGCCCTTTGAAAATTGCCATTCGTGAGCCTTTTTCAGCAGGCTGGAGAGGCTGGTGTGTGCCCTGTACAGCCAGACACCTTACCTCTCTCTCCCCTCCCTTTGCTGCGTTGCCATTGATAAACAGTATTTTCTTCAAAATACCTTCATGCTATTTTTTATTAATAAATGACCTTTAAAATGTTTCGGAGGTTGGGGAAAAAAAAAGTCTATTGTGTTTTAGAGGGAGTGAATCCGATTTGGCTTTCAGGTTTTGGTGATCCTTAAAAAATACTGAATAGTAGGTAGACATTTCTATCAATTATTTGGGGCAGGGCCTAACTTGTCACGAGCTGTATGCTGGCCTGCCTGCTGGCTCTGTCATGTTTGCAGCGTTAGAGAACAGGAACTTATTTCCTGGCAGGTATCTAAATGCTTCACGTATGTATTCAGCCGTATTCGCTTAAATGTAGCTTAGCGCATGCTTCTTTGGTCTACCCGCCTCATTTCAACTTGCCCAAGAAGAAAATTACAAACATCCTGTACCGTTAGTCTCGCTATAGAAGTAACACCAAGAGAAACGTGTTTGGGTAGAAGAATTTCCAATATTGAGAGTGAATTAATTATTAGATAACAATTTTAAAAAAAAAATTATATGGAGAAGAAATGAGCGTTTGTGTCTACAGTAGACTTACTGACCAACGGAACGTACGCAATAGATCTTGCAATGCGAAATAGAAAGTTAGAGCAATAGTGTTGTGCGCCATGACGTAATGCCATGCTAAATACTTGATGTTTTCTGGTAATTATCCCCTTTTCACATCACACTCCCCCCCATCTATTAAAATGCTGCTAGTTTACTGTCCCAGTGACCTCTGTTTCAAAATGGCGGGCAGTCTAATGGCTTTTCATAAATCACAACTAGACCAGTGAGTGACTTAGACATTTTTATGAAGATAACTTTTGTTTCAAAACAATTTAATTTAGGACTCAAAAAAAAAAAAAATCCATTATGTTTTATCTTCTTAGAGCTATGATTATGGTGATTTTTAGGGGAATGTAAGTTGAAGAATGTTCTTATATGAGCCTTTTAGCCCTAAGGACTGAACTGGATGATAAATCGTTTTATGATTAGAATAAGAAAAAAAAATTTTTGAAAGAAGGAGATACTGTGCAATTTAAGGTCTTATCTCTTGGCTACTCTTACTGAAAATATGAAATAGGTTTCTCAGGGATACTACAAAATAAGGTGACTTTTGTAGTCCTCTCCTTCCGTTGGTGCTGCTGTTCATGTGGTTTGGATCCGCTGCCTTTTGCACAGCTAGAGGGAGTTGCCACATGGCTGGTTCCCCAGACTTATGTTTTGCAGGCAGTTGTTTTACGGTTCTGGCACACAGAAAGCTTTGCAATGAAACAGGTGCAAGTGGCCACTGATAACTACTACAGATGAATGTTAATTTTACGCATCAAAATCAGCATTTCTGATCTGAAGATACGCTGTTACCAAATCTCAGAAACTTCCCATGGCTGCCAGAGGCCGTGGTTCTGCCCAGAAGAACCAGACTCTCCGTTTGTAATCGACAGGTGTTAAGAAGCCTAAAACCAGAGATTAATTTTGCTCCCTGTTGTAATAATACAGGGAGATACAGTGTTATACAATTGGGAGGAGAGGCTGGGACAACCAAGTGTGGGAAAAATATTAATGGCTTTGCTGTTTGAACAAAGAAGTAAATCTTGCTTCTGGCTGCCAAGTACACCATTCTATATGCTCTGTCCTTAAGCTTAAAACTGTTTAGTGTTACAGATGAGATTAAACAAACCTAATGGACAAATGGATAGCTCATCTTATGATCTCTGCGGCCTCACTTTTCTCTCAAATGCTGTTGTACCATTCGTCTTCTGTTGTTTTTTTGCTCAAGGCCTGTGGTCTCTTGTAATGCTTGGCATAACGAAGATGTGGAATTGTGGAGGGAAGCACTTTTAAGAAGGGAGAGGAAGCACAGTAGCTGTGTACAAGAACTCTGAAGCATGCCCTTGAAGGGTTTCTGAAGTGGATGAGAAGTCGAAGTAGAGATTTTTGTGTTTGCTACTGGAAGAGCACATGTTCCAGTTACAATTTTTTTTTTTTTTTTTTCTTCAAAATTAGGCACCAGTTCTGAGAGAACACTTGGACAGCCACCAAGTTTGGTTAGTTAGGAGTTTTGCAGCATCCCCTTGCAGTGGCCACACTAGGGAATTAGTTGCCTTTTTCATGGCTTGTCCCTTTCTTAAAACAAGGCAGCATACAGTTATAAAATACATGATTCAGTCAGGAGATCAATAGGGCTGTGCAAAATACTTGCTGCAGGCACTTGAATCTTGAGTATGGGGACCAACTTGGGTTTACAAGAATGAACTTTGGTTTACTTCTCATCATTTCAAATTGACGGTTCTGCAGTTGGTGCTTTTGCTGAAGCTTCACAAGCACAGTTTCTCACACTGCCATGATACTGGGAGCTCACTGGTGGTGGTTCTGCTCCTTGTTTGGATGACAAAGATTCAAGTCAGGCTTGCGATGTGCAAGGAAGCATTGCAGCCTCCAGCTTTGCGGAGGCCAGACATTACCTTCAAGGTAACACAACATTCAACTGCCAGTGCAAGTTTTAAAAGTTTTTGTTTGCCTTTGTAACGTTAGTGTTCTCGTAAATCTGAATTGCAGACTGGCCGAACAAGAACTTATGTGTCTGTTTTCTTTGACAAAGGCGTGGTTTGCGGTTTGCTTTTTTCTGAAGTGTTTTGCATCATCTGAAGTTCTGCGTACTGACATTTAAAGATAAGACAATGATAGGCAGCACATTCTTTTAGCTAAATGGAAGCAAATGAATGGCTCTGGCCTTACAAATAAAGAATTGGATGCTTGCTGCTGCTTCTGTTGGTTTTAAAGGAAGTGGATCATTTGAAGCATTTTGCTACAGTTCTCTCCAGTGAGGCATGTGAGTTACCTGCCTCTCAGCTGCGCTCCTCTTACTCTGCTGTAGATGGTCAGATCCGTTCTGCCTGTGGTTGGCTGTGTAATGCCTCCGTTTGGCTCACTGCTTGGTTCTTTGCGTTATAATGTCCCTTGCCTATGAAGTTTCCTCTTCCCCAAAGACGTGACAATGCAGAGCATATGTATTCAATAACTATGCCAGTGTGCTGTGATAGAAGTGTGAATACTGATTTTTTTTCTATTTTTTTCCAAAGGGGGGAGTTATAATAGAGGTTTGTGGAAGGAATATAGATAGGGAAGCAAGAACCTTTCTCAATGGTGGTACAGAAAGTATAGAAAACTGTGAAATCTGCTTGGGTTGCAGAGAATGTTGTGGTACGTGTCAGTTGAGCCTTTAGTTGCATCGTTGTCAGTCACGGGATGAACAGCTTGGCTTAAATCTCTCCTGATCAGCAGATCTTTCACACAGACCTAGCGCAGAGCTAAGCCTGCTGTTGAAGCTAATTCAGGTAGGCACACATGCAGACTGATTTCCATGCAGTACAGCTCACTCTCTTACACTTTCTAGTTCAACTGCAGGTTCCAAGTGATGGCAGCAGGGCAAAGATTTATTTACAGTTTCCTTAAAAGAGAGTGCAAGTATTGTTCATCGAGTTACTCGCTCTTGAAGACCCGTAGCAAAGAGGGAACCCCACACATGTGTGTAACTTCAGGCACTCTGCTGGGGCAGGCTGCCTTCCCTAGAGCCGAGCCCAGTACTGCTTTGGGAATTGGTCCTTGGAGAGTGTAATTTATGTATCTTGAGGCTTAAACACAGCTGTGATGGGAATTTCCTGCACTGCCTGTACAAAAATCCTTGAATCTTCCCATGCTTTTACATACAGTTTATATTTATGCTGTTTGGGAAGAGTGCCAAGCTCCTGTAAAGCGTATGTATGTGTGACTTCTCCCGTATGATTGAAGATCAAGTTAACGTTTTAGTTCATATTTCTCTTAAGTAGACACTCATCTGACTAATTTATTTTAAACCAAAGCACTAGAGTCTGTATAGAAGCAGTTTTACTGAAGGTCAGTGACCACACGCTTGTGTTAAAGGTCCTATTTCACCTTGCTTTCAGGCTTTGGGTGCAGCTGGAACTGTGTAAGGCGCATGCTCCAGTCCTATCAACAGTAGGAAAATGACTTCTCCTATTCAGGCCTGTCTGGGTGGAGTTGGGAATGCTAAATTTCAAACGTAAAAGTAGAAGTTACTAACTTCTGTTTTGCCTTTTAATCAGCTGTAAATATGGGAAAACCAACCTGGGCAGTCATCTTAGCTGACCTGTGTTAGTATAACTGTTAAGAGAATTACATAGCATTTCTGTTCTCTTAATACTCTGCATTTTCTGCCTGAAACTGTTCTGTATCTTGCATATTTAAATATCTTGGGCGTATGCACATTAGCTGTACGTTTCGGATTGGCAGTTCTGTATCATGGCAGTCCATGTCAGGCTAGGATTGCTTCTCTGCTGCATATCTGAGTGTGAGTAACATGTTGAGTGGATGGTTTTCAGGAGACTTTCAAATTTAGCTAAGTGGTTTATATATCAAAAAGATGAGTACTCTGACAAATACGCTACTGAAGTGGGATCAAATTAGGTGAAGTAGCAAATCCAATTAGTTTTTTTTATTGGAGCACTCCAGTGTCTCTCATGAGACATTCTTCTATGTCATGACAAACTTATGCTTTCTAAATGGGTTCCTGGCTTAACTAGATTCAATTCATTTTCAGCGTAAGAAACACTGAATTTGATATTTTTTGCAAAGATCTTTTCATGTGTCCTTGGAGGCAGCGCTCATTTCGTGGATAAAGTATATTTGTATTTGTATAACCGTGTTGCTGTGCAGAGTGTTCGGTATCTTCACTACTTGTAATGGAGATGGTGATATTAGCATTGAACTTGATCCAATTCCTTTTTTCTTTTCTTTTTGACATCTTCAGTAACTACTGCTGCAGCTTGTGAGAAATTGGAGAGAGACAGGAATGAACTCCAAGTTGCTTACGAAGGGTTTTTGCAGAAGTTAAACCAGCAACATCACAATGATTTAGCTGAGCTGGAGGAGAGGCTTAAACAGTTTTACACTGCAGAATGTGAGAAACTCCAAAGTATCTGCATTGAAGAAGCTGAAAAATACAAAGCGCAACTCCAGGAGCAGGTTTGTAACAGTTGAAGTAGAAATATTTTCTAGCAATTGCTTTCTGCTACAAATGAGCCTTCAGAGAACCCTGGGTTTGCTAATAACGGAGTTAATTTACCTGATGTGAAACTCCACTTTGGTGCAACTATAAAAATACTACTGCGCTAAGCTGTCCAGGCCTTAAACTTGTGTTTAAACATGGTGGAGATTCCTTGTGTTCTGCAAACTTCAATGACTAGATTCTAAAGTTCCACTGGACACTTGCGGCAGCTTGAGCTTTAAGATTTGTAGAAATACACTTGGCCTGCAGCCTTGCTTTGCACAACTCTGTGTGTGCGACAGATGCGCGCATCATCCTGGTGGTGGTGGTAAATGTAAGGCATTGTTCTCATCTATTAAGTGTTGTATGTGGCTTAGCTTCCCCTGTGACCATCTGTTAAGTGATACCTAGGCCATTTAAAATGTACTCAACTTACTGCATAAAGCCAATGGAATGGTACTTTAAACAAGGGTTGACGCATATAAGGGGGGAAAAATCATGTTGTCGTATTGCAGGTGGACAACTTAAATATCACACATGAAAACTTTAAGCTGGAACTTGAAAACAGCCACTCGGAAAAAGTAGAGGAGCTGAAAAAGGAATATGAATCCTCTTTTTCAGGCAAGTATTTTCTATTCAAGTACATATGCTATAGTACTGCTAGTCACAAAAATATTAAGGCTTGTCCATCAGTTTGTCCACTTCATTGTTCTTGGCGGTCAGCTATCTTTAATACACATTGGCTGAATTCCGTCTTCTGGAACTGAACCAGTCTCATTTTCTCTACAGAAGTAACCATGACCCCAATGTAGTTGAATGAAACTTTTAAGACCATTTAGGAGTGGAGATGACCTTTTCTTTCAGTAGAAATGTCTGAAATGCAGTCTGCCCCTGAAATTCAAGTTAATGAATAATTGTTCCCACCCTCCTAGTTGTAGGAGCACCTCAAAATTGCACTTGAGGATGAGCAGGGTTGTCTGCTTTCCGGACTGACAGGGGAATATTGAGAAATGTTATGCAGTGCTTACAGTATACTGGGACAAAGGTAGTTTTTCAGGGAGGAGGTGGTGAACATGCTCAGTTTTAAATAGCATTGCATTGCATCTGATTGATGATTTCTATTCTCCCTCCAGCTCCACTTGATAGCCAAGTTTCCAGTGATACTTTTGCATCATTAAAACTGGTGATGCTTCCACTGCAATCAAAGAGCAAACTCCACTGCGTGGCATCTCCAAAATAGGAAGGGAAATGTTTTTCTAGAAGCTTGTGGAAGACACAATTTCAGTGTTTGCTGTGTTTCCCTTCAGAAACTCAGCTTCTGACAGATGTGGTTCTTGTGCTCAATTCATCCATTTGTTGTGTGTAGATGTCAATACTGACACGCTGACCACCAATGAAATGGATATGCGAGGGGGTAATCAACAAATCTGAAGCACAAATAACTCTGATACTTTGTACATGCTTTGGATCACTTGATGATAAATGTTCTTTCTGTGTTGTCGTTGCCTCTGCATCTTTGTTATATGTGTATTGGCTGGCTTTTTGTGCTGCTGCTTTTCAAAAAGAATTTTCATGTCTTATGTGGTATTAAAAATCTGCAAAAATAATTTGTTGCAGAGCTCAAGAGTGCCCATGAATCTGAAAGGAAGTCACTTGAAGATTCCTTTAAAGAGAAGCAAGAATTGCTAGAGGTTTGTTAAGGGATAGGGTCATCGCATCAGTCTAAAATTTACAAGGCAGTTTGGGGATGTGCACTGAATTCTTGGCCTAACTATCCCATCTCTTTTCATTTCAGAAAAAAATTGAGGAATTAAAATGTGAAAATGACTCTCTGAGTGAGAAGTTGAAGATAGAAGAGCAAAAACAAATAGCCAAAGAAAAAGCCAGTCTTGTAAGTCTTGATCTTCAAAAGTAATGCAGATGAGCAGATCTTGTAAGCCTGGGTTTCTTTTATTGCGTAATACGAAAGGTTTGCAATCAAGCCTGATAGGGCTCCTGCACTTAACTAATACTTTATGTAAATGGCTTGCCTGCCACAAGTTTTTTTTCTCAAGCACTACAGTGTTGTGTATTAACCTCACCATTATAAATCTGTAAAGCTGCTGAATATCTAAGTCAGTGGTGTAAGTTATAGCCTAAGTTAAGTTGAAGACCTACATGTAAGCAAAAGTTGTACCAAAGCTCTCTTCTGGACAGTTGATCAATGTTCTAACAGCACTACGATCCGTGTGAGCTTACATCGCTGCTACAAAACTCACTGCTTGTACTTGAGTCTTTAATGCATTTCTTCAAACATTGATTCATACTTGTTGCTGATTTATCCTTCAGATAAACTTTGATTTTGTCCTGCCTTTCCTCCTAAGGCTGCTGTTATCTGTGGTGCTCCTGGGTTAGAAAGGTGCTCTGAGAGAGGTTTCTCATGCAGTGGGACAGTGAAGCATAAACACGCTTGTCTTTCTGGTTACCTGGAAATAACTGGAATACCAGTAGTGTTGCATATCCCACAAAGAGAAATTCCACTCACTTAGGGTGCTTCTAGTAGAAGTTGCCCTAGTTTTCACTGGAATTTTATTTATTTTTTTCTCTTACCGCTTATTGTAGTGGCAGGGCAGAGCTGCCGCAAGAAGAA